CATGTATTCCCGGGTCGGAGATGATGACGGTTCGATAACGCACGGCACGTGTAATAAACCGCCCACCGCCGTTCGGCCGTTCGATCGATGCGTTCGATACGTTTGCGAGAGAGACGGCGAATTATTCGATAAAAAGCCGGCTCGCGGCACGTTCGCGATTGGAGGGTGTTTTAACGCCCACGGGTTTATCGTTATCACGGAATTTTATATATATATACATATATATATACATATAAATCCTTTCTGCGTGGACCGCATTGCCCGACGACCGTGCACTGGCTCCGCCGTGCTACGCGCACGGTAAAGTTAAACTGCGCATTGCACGCGGCCTGCCGCGCGACATAATGGGAAAGGATGAAAAATTTACCACATATCCGGCCGTATATCTCGCAAATGTGGCCCTGGAATTTACGGTAACGTAAAAGGGATAATCGATTTCTGAAGGCGGGGGCACGCGGAAATAAGTTCGATCGGCCTAATTTGATTATTCCCGCGCAACCCGCGCCCATAAATGAGCGCGAATCAATTGACGGATCAAATCACGTGTAACATAATGCGCAACAGTTTGATTGGGAGAAACTCGCGCGGTTTATCACAATGCGATTTAATTCGATACGTTTGACGGGTCGACGAAAATAACGACTCAATCGCGGGTAGTTACGTTCGGCCGATCCCTTTAATGTACTTCTCGCTATAAATTAACGGGAATTTTCCACCCCGCGGTTCAAACTTTCATCCCTCGAGTTTGGAAAGAAGCGCCGTTTGCTGGCTCGGAACGAGAAGGGGAGGAAAAGAAGTGCGGAAGTGCGGAGGAGATACCACTCGTAGGAACAAATCTGATATCACTACCATAATCGTAGAAGAAAATTCGCCTGGCGAACCGCATCCGCAATGCGGTGATTCCCGTGGCAGGAGATAAAACGCGGATTATCCGCAACAAATTTTTACGCCCAATATTTACTGGCAAATCCTCTCTGGCTGTTGAAAAGCGTTTGCCCGAAATGAAATTGTAAAAGCGCAAATTATAATGAGCTGCATTTATTTTGTCAATTTTTCCCCGTGTGTACAACGTAAATGAAAATCAATACCGCATCAGGACGATTGAATATGATAATTCCCTCCCGAATTTGAAACCGCGAACAGAAAGACGGGGCGAATTACTCAGGGAATAGTTGCTCGTCGTTCAACGAGCTTCTGCGTCACGTCGCTCCCATTGTTTCTCTCTTTTTGCGTCGCCTGCTATGCTATTCTGAATGCTTCAAGATACCCTTGGTACTTTATATCGTAAACCAGCCCGGAGTGTCGTCGACCTGGGCGAACTTATCCGGTTATCGAGTAACCCATATATCGACTTAGCGAGTTGCTCCAACAACCTGACGATATTATGTTCGCCGGCCCAGAAGAGCCCGATCTCTAATTGGACATGCTTTTATACCTGACGGAAACTGCCACGTAGCAACGGCAATTAAGTGCGCGTTTAATAGCCCGCATGTATAACGATCGCAGTATTTTGTCTACATGCAGCTTGACACGCGCGCGAGTTGAATCGCGGGGTAAACGTCTGCCCGTCGTCAGCGGAAAATGCGATCGACATTCATTAATTTAATCTCCCGCGGTAATTCTACAAGGGAAAAATTACGCCGCGGTGTTTACTTCCATACTTTCGAGGAAAGATTACGCTCCTTTGGCGATAAATGACGCAATTCGTACGCTATTTGTTGCAAAGCGAAGTCATAAAACCGCCCGAAGCCCTTTTAATTATAATACGCAAAGTCGGGGACCAAAAAAAAACCCACGTTCTAACATCAAAGCGCGCGTCGATCGCGCGACTAAAAATTACGAGCTTTAAGTGGCGATTAAAGCCGCGGCGAGCACGTAACGAAATCTTGCTCTTTAATTAATTGCAACATGACTTTTAATAAGACTCCAGGCGTAATTTTAAGCGCGCGTTAAAGATTGAAAGAAATTAAATGGACGTAGCGGCCCGCCGCGCGGGTTTCGCCGGGGATAAGCCGGATTAATCCCGTCGTAGAACCGGGAACGTTCCGGGGATGGGAACAGAAAATAATTTGCCGAACATTCGCGGATAATAGATCAATGATACTAACAAACGCCCGTGGCAAGCTCCAAACGAGCTATTTCGACGCTCGAAAGATACAGACGGAAGTGGGGAGGGGGCGCGCGCGCGGAGAGAATCAAGGGCTGAACCGAATAGAACGTTCAATTATTCCACGTCGAATCTGTTCGCTGTTTTTGTGCACGGAAACTGTCGCTGCGCCGCAACGTCCGTACGTTCACGGGGACATGCAGTCGCGCGAAAATCTACGATAAAAGGGTGGCGCGCATTGAAAGCAGTTTTGTCCGTATGTTACAACGCCACCGCTCGAGCCTTCTCCTCGTACGCAATTTGTTTCGCGAGTCATTGTTGTCAAATATCGCCGCTACCACCGGCGAAATTCATCGTTTTCGAGTACCATGGAAAATAACTGCGCGCCACGTACGTGTGTACGCGGCTTCCGTTTCTACGGGGGTGGGTAGGGGAGGGGGAGGGAGTGGAATTTGTTCGAAAATATTGTTGCACCTTCGAAAACCGCAAAACGTTTTGGCAATTAGCTCGCCCAGCGCGAGCAAAATTACTAACAATAAGTACGCAACCGCGTTATCCTCTTATCCGTTTCTCCCGACAGTTCAATTCTCGATTGAAATTAAATAATACAACGTGCAGAATTCTCTTTTTCGCTTTGATTCCCAGGCATTCGAACTACTTCGTAGTTCTGCGTAGAAACTCCGTTCCATTAATTATTGTGTTCAACCCTTTAACCTTTACACTCCCATAACTGGTGTAGTTACCGAACCCCACTGGCATTGTGCTCGGTGTTTCTCTAACATTAGAAATTGGTAATTCTACTGTTAGCTAACTGTAGTGAGAAAGTGAAATTATGCAAAGATGTTCACAGTGCGTCTATTTATATATATATGTATATAACATTTATTTTATATCCCGGTAACTAGTTACCGGAGTTAAAACTGCAATAAATTTGTGTGTGAAAGACACAGAAAAATTAAACAAAGTGCTGTACGTTCTCCTAATTGTGACACAGATTCTGAATAATTTATCCTTCAGCGGTGTTTGTTACGTTAAATACGACATAAAATATGGAAAATTTCGCTTTTATGTAAAATGTAAGAATTTTAACTTTTTAAATTAATATTTAAAATATTCATTCGTTAATATTTCTAACTGCACACAATAATAAAAAGGCTCTATATTTTACTGTTTACAATTGTTGCGAAAATTTTGCCTGAAATATTTTAATTTTTATGAATGTTAACCCATGAAGTGAGGTCTCGTTGTAGATTTCACTTAAGGAAACTACGTAAGTCAAGATGTATCGGGAGTCAGAAGATTAGATTCACTTGTCATAGAATAAGCAATTTCATCTGCACCTAGTCGTCTAGTTTTCCACAAGTTGCGCGCATTTTTTAATGAATGCCAATTACTTCGCACCGCGAAGCGCCCGTGCGATTGAATCAAATCGAATCTTTCAAAATACCTTCGAGTCGAATCGAATCCGGTCATGTTCGAATTCTAATGTTTAATTTATTCTGAAAATAATTTTATCATTATATTACAAAAACTATCCCCGAGTCGAATATTTTGGCCTCAGTTTAGTCTCGTATAATTTTTGAATCGGGAGCAACGAAGTGGAACTGAATGTCTTTGTGTCGGAGAAATATATTGAATTTTTGACCTGAGATAGGCCTGAAAAGAGTGGCTATTTCCCTTTCAGCAGTAAAGAGGCCAATGCGAGAGCGTAATCCAACAGAGGTTCAGTAGATCGATCCTCTTCGGCCCAAGAGGTTTCAAAGAGGACGTGAAATATTTTATTATATTCTCTTTGACGGTTGGAATGAGGATAAGCACAATTTTTTTTACTCACCTGGGCCTCAAATTGGAGTTTTAAACCGACTCCGCGGTCCAAATGAAGAATAGAATATAAATTGAGGCCCATTCCGGAACCAAATACTCGACTCGGGATTACACTTGTTGGAGGAAAGAAATGACCCACTCGAAATCGAGTCGAATCGAAGCCTTCAGTGATTCGATTCGATTCGAATTCGAAGCGATTCCCACACCTCTAGCTCCTTCGTATGTAATCACCGATTGACGGACATGTACTCGAAACGCGAACGACGTCGATCTTTGCGGTTTTTCCGGCGACCGGTCCCTCGATGAAAAATAGAAAGACGAATGAGAGACGCAGTCCCGATAGGAAAATATCTAGAGAATTATGTGACGAAATCTGGATGAAACTTGGAATGCTAGATTGGAATGCATGATTGACATATTGTTCGATGATTCATCAGATGAAAGCAATAATGAAGAGAAAGAAGTCCCGCTACGGTTGTAGCGGAAAGTTTTGCCGAAACGCACTCATTCATTGTGAAATTTCCTCCTTTTGGATGATGCAATTATTACACAATATTTGAGACATTTTCCTATCGGGGATTAAAGCCAACGGCACACGATACTACTTTTCCTACTGGATCGCTTACGAGAACCAATAAGAATGCAGAGTTTTAAGCCAACGGTACACAATACTATTTTTCCTACTGGAGCGCTTACGAGAGCCAATCAGGATGTAGAGTTTTAGATCAGGTGACCCGAAGCTAAATCCTGGTTGGCTCTCGTAACCAATCCAGTAGGAAAAATAGTATCGTGTGCCGTTGGCTTTAGATCGGGTGACTTAAGGCTGAATCCTGATTGGCTCTCGTAAGCGATCCAGTAGGAAAAATAGTACCGTGTGCCGTTGGCTGGAAATTTGCATCGCGCGCCGACACGTGCGAAGAAACGGGACGCGGCCGAGGGTTAATTAGATCTGCCCCGCACGGCCTGAACGAACTGTCGGGCCGGCGCCGCGCATTCCTATGGGGGTTATTGGCTTGAGTGCATACATCCCCCTCGCGCGTTTATCCGAGTAATATATGCGATAACTCACCCGAGCGCTTCTTTGTAGACGACGCTGAAGAGCACGATTCCCACGCCGGTGCCGGCCTGCACCACCATCTCGACGAACTCCCGCCGTTTCCTGAAGTAATTGCCCAATACCAGACTGGCGGTTTCCCTCACGAGGCCGGCCCCCGTACCCAGCACCAGACCGTAGCTGTTGCATTTTGTAAAGGTGAATTGTATGACTTCGCCCGAGTGCGCGCGAGAGGCGATATTTTCCGCGGCGGAGCTAACGCGCGGGGTCGCTGAGTCGTTTCAAAGAAACTCGGACGGCCGGCGATATATATATATCGAGCCCCCGCAAAAATATTCATTTCTCGTCATTTTTTAACGCCCCTTCCGGCCGAAAAGGTACGGCGGGCGCTGTTACGCTTTAAAGGCCATTCGAAAGCAGAATTAAACGAGTGACTATTACCATAGAAATATGCGGTGGCCCCGCGCGTTGCCGCATAATACACGTACGATACACGCGGAATGCGTTAAAGAACACGTATTTAATATGAACTAAAATTTTGCGCTGCAACGCGGGCAACTTCTTTTTCGCAAAATATTATTTTTTAATTCGACGACACACGATCCGCGGACTGGAGGGAGATTTCAAGAGCGCGATAAACGCCTGCATAAATAATTACTTATTTTCGCCGTGAAAACAGCTTCGATAATTCACTCCGCGCGCTATTAATATCTATCCCATCCCTCGCATAAAAGTTAACAAACAAAAACCTCCCTCACCTGCCCTTCGATTATTTTTAACGCGACGTCCATCCGCGATAATTCTCCGCGGTCAAACGTCGCTCGTCGCACAGAGGGGTTGACGACAAAAAGCTCTGCCCTCGTCCCGCTCATCGAAGAGAATCCTAAAGTCATCTTTTTTACTGACACGTTCGAATATATAGTTTTTACGCTTGTGAATCTTCCTATTGGCGCTTTTATGCGCAAAGTAATGCCAGGATAAGTTGCGGACCGCGTAAAATCTCGGTTTGAGCAATGTGTAGCTAATAAAATTGCTGCTTTTTCGTCAAAGTTGCAAATTGATTGGCTATAAATCTCTCGGGCCGAGTAGAACTTGGAAATAAAAATGTCGATAATTGACGTTTTTAATTCCGTCTCCTATCTTAGCGACACTGATCGAGTTCGCCAGCGACTTTAGGATCCCCTTAAACTGCTTCAAGCGCTGAATCTGTGAAGTTTCCCTTAACGGGAAAACATGCGGAACGAGGGCCGGGGTCCAACCGAGGACCCTACCATGACTAATCACTCGCATTAGCACAGAGCTAAACCGTCGTCTCATTTCTAACCGCAGCGCGCGGATAACCCTTGCCGGTCGAACGTCGGCTCTGCCGGGGCGGTCGATAAGCCGGTAGCATTTGCGCCGTTACGCACCTAAGGAGCACTTGATGCATCTGGACGGCGAACGAGGTGAAGAGCGACGCCAGAGCCAGCACGAGGCCACCGATCACCGCCGTAAGCCTCGTATTGCCGCGGCGACACGCGCCGACGACCAGCGGCGCTGAGCCGCGGGAGACCGCGGCGCTCAACGCCCCCGCCCACACTGAAACATTCACCCCAATCATCAACATTTGACGGGCTATCAGAGCGCGACTGGCGGAAACCAGCAGGGCGCGATGGTTCCGCGAACGCGCGCGTCGCGGTGTCCAATTATGCCCGCGGTCTGCCCTTTCTAGAGAATCGCCGCCGGTTTTATTCGGCTGACTTGTCTCCCTCCCCCCCTTTTACCCTCCTCGCTCACCAAACCGGCAACGGGGCTCGTTTATTGATTGATCTCGCGTTTGCGAGCGCTAACGAGGAAACGCTCGCAAACCGGAACGTTTTGCCTCTCCTTGCTCGGCGGGGATGACCGCGGCACTCGCGCCTGGGAGGACGGGTGGAAATAATTTTTCACGTGTTTTCCATCCCCTCGCCGGCGCGGCGTATCCGCGCGTCCGCCACTCGCGGGAATCGCGCTTCGCGCTCAAAATCCCAGCCTCGAGTGCGGCAAGGACGCGAATTCCCGCGAATGTTTCCACTTTTTTTTTTAAACCGCGCATCCGAGCCCGCGAAAGCTTTTTCGGAAAAATTCGTTCACCCCCCGGTATTTTTTTTGCGACGATTAAAATTTCGGCGCGAATTCCTGTCGCGGGGATAATTCGTGAAAAAGACCTCGAGAGGATTGTTTCGAGCTATAGAGTGAAGTCCCCTATTATGAGATAGGTTTCTAATATGAGACAGCAGGTTTTCAACATCCAACTTCGATCACAAATCTTTCGCAACGATTGCACAATCTAACAATGAATTTTCCCCCAGACAAATTTCACTCCAAGGGCATTCATGGTGGAACCAACAGACGATGCCTATTAATTTAGCAGAAACTCCGCAATCTCGTATTAGAAGACTATCTCATAATAGGGGACTTTCCTCTGTGTATGTACATTTTGACGCCTCCATTCAAGAGGAACATAAGTCCATTAACATTTCCATTTTTATTGCGAAATAAAAGGAGTAAACTCACAGTCTTGTAGGTTTAATAATCGACCATTTTGTTGCCCACTTCAGAATTCGAGCGCTGTAAACCGGAGCCAAGTAAAATGATTTACGACAGATCTCCGAAGAAACCGGTTCTATTTGACTGAAGAAGTCTATGCTGCCGTCCAAACTTAGAAAGCAGTATCTCCCAAATTGTCAGTTTCGAGAAAACGCGCATTTGAGAAACAGAATGAGAGGTTATGTTATCGTATATCACTAACTTCGTCACTTGTTGCCAGACTAAAATCAGTAACTCCAGTATTAGTGGGAGATACTGTTTTTAAGGCTTGCAGACAGTGCTTACTGCGGTTTAGCTTCTAAATTGCTGATAACAGGTGGACATACTGCAACACGTGTATAAGTTATTTTATGTTAATCTAGTGCTCTTACTCCATACGGAACATAAATATCTATTAGATATCTAATGGATATCCACGACAGATATTAAGGATATCCACGAATACCTAAAAAGTATCCGTTAGGTGTGCTTTAGATATCCAAATTCATAGCACAGCTTTTTATCTCCGTAATTTGTAACGGTTAAAAAGGCATCTTCTTCGAAAAGGAGTTTCCTGACTTACGTCCCTCCTGTACGAAAACCCTCAATTATATCGCTCGTATAATCCATTTTATTCATTTTGTTATTCAAATTCAGGCATTTGTTACCTCGCCACGGCGTAGCGAGAAAAACATTTCTCTTCTCCCCCTGCTCTTTCTAGGGTGCCGTGTTTTCGACAAAGTCATCGGATTTATCGCGCGACTCTTCGTAATTACTCCCGGTGGCGTACAATTTTCGCAATTACGGTGAAATCCCCGTAACGCGAACTGCGCTGGTTTTCAATGACGAGCGCTTAAATCGTTAATTACTATTTACGACGATGCGATAATAGCTGGCTCCCGAATTCTACGAATGTTTCGTGAAGGGATAGACGGGCCCTCCGCTGCCGGGCATTCGTAGTTTTACAATTAAACGGGATAGGGACCAATCGTGCGTAGCAACGCATTTGCGGGAATTAAGTGACGACGAGACTCGCGGAGTGGAAAAGGCAATTCGTGGGTTTTCCGATTGTAATCCGCGCGGACGCCCGTCGAGATTTATGCAAAACTTTGCGCCCTGTCGCGGGTGCGCGGATAAAAATTCTGATGTCGGAGGACAGTGCGATATGCGTCGCGCGCATTGCGAACGCGAAAGACGTCTGCAGCACGGAATACGAAAACCGCGTCGGCCGGTTCGATTTAACGTGCCGGGGCACGTTATACCTAGCCGTATCTCTCTGTAATGCTAAAATTGGACGGGGCTACGTCAATCGTATCGACGTACGTCTCCTGTAATCTCGTGAAAGCGTTTTAACCCTTTTACGCGCGGCGAAGTGGCGGGGACGCGCCTCCCTTTCTTTTTATAAGTATGCACCTTGCCAACTCCACGCGAACGCGCGCGTCTCGTCTTATATAATCGTATCTCGATCTCGAACTCGGCAGATATAAATAATCCAACTGAGGCGCATTTATGCGATGCGAAAGTTAAGCCCTTATCGCTTTATTGGCTCGCTCGCGACTTCGTCGATTTATCTATGCCTGTCTAGTTGTCCATTTGTCCCACCTGTCTAAAACTTGGAGTGTTCGGCAAATGTTTGGAGACAGAATGCGAACAATTCCAGCGAAGTTTTAGAAAAGGAGAAAATATAAGAAAGTGCAAGCAAGTGTAGGATAAGAGAAAATTTGTACACCGAGGAAAAAAGGTGTTGAATCAAGAAAATATTACTTGATCAACTGTTCCGCGGTCACGGGCTGTCGAGCAAATATCTGTTAATTCACACGCAAATGTTTGGAGACGGATGTGAACAATTCCAGCGAAGTTTTAGAAAAGAAGAAAATATAAGAAAGTGCAAGCAAGTGTGGGATAAGAGAAAATTTGTACACTGAGGAAAAAAGGTGTTGAATCAAGAAAATATTTCTTGATTCAACTGCTTTGCGGTCATGGGCTGTCGAGCAAATATTTGTTAATTTATACGCAAACATTTGTTAATGTAAAAAGTATATGTTTCGATAAATTATGCGTGTTTAATTGGAAAACATACATATTTGAGCTAAAGAAATACTGCCAAGTAAACATATTTAGTGATATCAACAACTTTTTCTCTGCGTAAAAAGACTACAAATGGAATTTTTCTAAATATACAGTGAAATATTCACAATGTTTTTGTACCACGAAAAACTACAATTTTTTAAAAGCTCGACAAAATTTTATAATAAGATTATATTTTTCGAGATAAAAACATTTGACACGGAATGAGACAAAAGTACGAGATGGCGATTAAAAAGGAAATAAATTTGTATTGTAGTTTACAAATTTAAAACCTAAGTAATTCGGCTGTTAACCCTTTGAAGCATACATTTTTCTATTGAACCATTTTTTGTGAAACTTTGTATACAAGGACTTTTGAAGTCGCTGATAACGAATCCGTTATCAGATTTTCATAATACAAAATGGCGGATTCAACATGGCGGAGTTCAAAACTTAACATTATTTAGATATTATTAGGACCCATGGAATCTAAATTCCAGTTGAAGATTCTTATAGAATATAAAAAATAGCGCGCGCGAAATGCTGAAAAACTTGAAAACTTAAAAAATTCACGTACTTTGTATCCGCCATTTTGGGTCGACCGATTTGAAGTTTGAGAATCGGACATCAGATTCGTAATGAGCGACCCTAAAAACCCCTTTGTGCAAAGTTTTACGAGGAATAATCTTAAAAAACTTGGTCAATAATGAATTTTTTCGAAAAAATTGCTGTTTTTTCATATCTGTTTATTTATAAAACTTTGGCAATGATTATTAAAGACTACTCAACTTTTTTTATGTTCTTTTATTGCTGAGTTACCCAAGAAATGCAAAAAGAATCCGACCTAAATGCGTTAACTAGAAATTAAATGGCCAAAAAGTAAAGAAGTTGAGGTGGTAACGTAGGTTACCACCCTGCTTCAAAGGGTTAAGATCACGATGCAAAGTAATTAATTAACTAAACATAAAATTTACTTTTTTACTGAGAAAAAGCTCGACGTAATTAATTGAGAAGTGAGGTCCTGTCAGTTACACCTTTCGGTACCAACCTCCGGTGCCAGAATCCTAATTTGAATTCCTGACGTTTTCAGTCTAATCGAGCGTTAAATCAATTTCCCGCTTGTACAATAATCCACTTGAATACTTCGAATAATTTTAATTATTCGTGCGAATAAAATTTCCAATATTATTTCGTTAAGCCACTTTTAAAAACGCGGGACGTTTCTTTACGAAAGACTTTCGCAGGTGCAAATTACGAATGGAGCAAGTTCTTTGCAATTAGATATGTTCCCCTCTGTGAAATTCTATATACGTGCAAATGAGCGGCCGACTTTGCTAAGGAGGCGTAAACATATCCGCGTCGGGTACAGGAAAGAATTGAGGGAACGACGCCTCGCGTCGGTGTTGGGACATGCTCCAGGCGCGATATTACGTCCGAAATGAGAGGGGTGAAGCATGCATTTTATTGCTACGCGCGAGAAAAAAATCGCATTAGGAAAATTACTGCTTGCCGCACGCGAAACGCGCGAGTGTGTAATTATACGCGTATAACGACGTAAACACGCAGTGTTACGCTCCGAGAACGTTTCGAGAGCTGTTGCGCGGCTCGCATGCACGTATTTTCGCGCAAATTTGAGAATTTCAAGGCTTCACATGCCATGTGTCAAATAATGGCGCAAAAGAAGAAAGAGAAATGCACCGGGTTATCTCGCAAATAACGTCATATAAAAGAGAGCTAATTGATTTACTCGTTAGCTCAAAAGTAAAAGACTTTCGTTGCTAGGGAATGAAAAATTTAAGAATAAAATGGAAAGCTCGTAAATAACAATGGAAGATATATTTTGGATAACAATTAAAATGTCACAGAATTTTATTTCAATTAAAAATATCTTTAAAAATCGCGTCACTTATAGAACGCGTAAGATTATATCGATACCTTTCATTAGCATTAGCCGATTTATCTCG